AAAAGCTCTGCATCCGTCTTCATGCTATCAAACAACGAAGCAGAATTTGCATCCGACACGGCCACTGTCCGGTGCTGGGTGTAAGGAGAGGGATCCTTTTCCGACCGCGGACGCTTGTTTGGGCGTTCTGTGGATTCGATGGGCTCGGAGGGGAATAGCGACATGGCGGGTGTGGAGTTTTGAGAAGGAGGTCGGTAGGAGAGAGGTGCGAAGGTCGGGCTCGTCGCTAAGGCGATCGTTGCGAGAGCGTCGATGGTAGAACCGGAGCGGCCATGGCTAGAGCGATGAGAAGCTGTCTCATCAGCATGATGATGATGTGTAGGATTGTGAGGTAGGAAGTGGTCGCGATCGGAGGCAGCAACCCGGGAGACGTTGCGGTCGACCCATGATGCACGGAGGTCGGAGGTCGAGCAAGGCGAGATAGGCTCGACGGCGCGTCGCGGCGGCGAGGGAGTGCGATACCGCGGCGGTCGGCTCCCAAGGTGATTCAAAAAGGATGTAGCAGTGATCATCGTGTGATCTGAGGATGAAATCGGAGGGAAAGGAGAGAAAGAAAAGGGCCCGGAGGAGGAAACAGGCGTGCTTGCGGCAGACGGGTGCAAAGCGGGGATGTTCGACCACACGGGCTAAAGAGAGGCCACCGCAGGCAAAAAGAGAGTCATTCCTGGCAGACTGAAGAGCGCACAGTGAACAATGAGATGAAAGGTGAATCAGAAGGGAAACCGAGGAGATGGCGGGGTGGTGGAAGGAGAGGGTGACGGAGGAGAGTCGCACGGCGGAGAGGTTGAGGGGGGGAAGTTGAGAGAGAGTCTCTGCCGACTGGGAGTTCAATCGAGAGCGGCGGGAAGAGAGAGCCCCGAGTATGCACCGCGGCGGGTGCGGGCGAAAAAAGAAACGTCTGAGACGGGTCAATCAAGGTGCAGGAGAATATGATGAAGAATACAGGAGAACAAGCGATTGAAGAATGCGCCAGAAAAACAGATTAAGAGGATGGGCTTTGCACCGGAACAGAGCAGGAGGAGGCGCGAGGCTTTGCTTGGACGGCCGGTCGAAGGAAGGCAAAGCGGGCGCGCCGCCAGTCTGCCTCAGGCCGGCACTCCCTATCCTATCCTATCGTTTGCGGCGAGCAGCCCGGAGAGCAGCACTACTACTACTTGCAGTTCGAAGTATACCAAGGGGGGTTTTCCACCTTCATAGCTCAACTTCTCAGACAAGGTATTAAGAGCAAAGTAATTCTATAATTCCAGATCATTCTCTTCAACTCCGACAGTTCCATCTACACCCCGACGTCGTCCGTCGGCTTCAATGCCTCGGACTTGTTGTCGTTTGTCTCGAACCAACAAAGTGAGGCTCCTCCCAGCCACTAGTCCCAATCAGGAAAGGCAGGCTCCCTTCCGAACCTCGTGCTTGTCGCGGATATTGCTTCCCTCTCTCCTCCTCCTCTTCCTCTCTCTTCCCTCGCTATACACCTTTCATTCCAGGCCCTCTGGGTATCTGATTCATCTTCAACCTCTCCCGACCCCATTTTTAGGACCTATACTGTCCCACCCGAGAATGAGCCGGAAGCTCGCCCCCGAAGCCAATCGGTAAGTTCTGCTCGCCGAATCTTGCCCCTCTTCGGTCGCCCGCCATCATTCAATCCCGGGCCTTTGTTCTGCATGCTGTTGGATGGCAAACATGCGTGCCGAACGAGTATCATATCTGACGTATCGATGCTGACTGGTTTCAGGATTCTCTTTGTAAAGAACCTCAAGTACGTCGATGATTTCCCACGATTTACTCCTCGATTCGCAACCCAATCGTCGCATACCTATCGACCGACAGCCATCAGGCGAAAGGCGCCCCATCTTGTTCTAGAAAGCGAGAGCTAATCTGATTGTCTCCTTACAGCTACAACGTCACAGCTGAGCAACTCTTTGACCTCTTCGGCAAATTTGGTCCCATCCGGTAAATCTGCGCATGACTCACGTTCAGCCCATTTCTTGGTCATTCAAGGCTAATTGTTTCTGTTCTTCAAGCCAAATACGTCAGGGAATTGCCAATAACTCGAAGGGCACGGCCTTTGTGGTTTACGAAGACGTTCATGACGCCAAACAGGCATGCGATAAGCTCAATGGATTCAACTTCCAGAACAGATACCTCGTCGGTATGTTATCCCGTACCAGGGGAAGATGAAGCAGAGAAATTATGAGGACAATTCGATTGGCTGACATTTGTTTTCTGTCCTAGTTCTATATCACCAGCCCGAGAAAATGCTTAGGTCGAAAGAGGACTTGGCGGAAAGGCAAGAGAATTTGGAGCGTCTCAAACAGCAACATGGGATAGAATGACGTGATGATTGCTTTTGCTCGCTTTCTCTGCATGCCCTTTGCCGGCATCTGGCTGCGTATTATCCTGGGTTGGTCGTGGGGTTTCTGGCGTTTTTCTCTCCTATGGGTTTGATGGCTCTTATTCATTCATGGGTATGAAAGGGTTGCCGGCGGGTTGAATGACACCCTGGCTTTTTGTTCAGGAGAATGATACAGAATGGGTTATTTCAAATCGGGGTCGGTGCTAGCTGCACCGGCTCTAAGGTTACCAATATAATCATTTCGATCGCCGGCCACCTTTTGGCTGTTGCGGCACCCCCCTCTGAGATTACTGCTTACTACAGGTGTTTTGACTTGTCTTGCTTCAAATTTTGGATGTTTAGAGTGACCCCGATCAAGGGGAGAACTGACCCAGCGCACTTGCAGAGACCACGTCAGTCGTAGAAGTGGGCAGGTATCTGACGATCGTCCAACGGCCGTCAGTTTGCATGGGGGTGGATCAAGCGGTTGAAGATCGTGCATCGACTAGTGAAGTATCTACAGAAACCCCCTGGAGTGCCGACGTAAGGCTAGCCAACTAGTGCGGTAGTTTATGTCTCTGCTGAGCTTCGCTTTAATGGTATCCACTCCCGGCCTCGTTAGCCGCGAGATCCAAGCGCCAATTATATTGTCACAATAGCGCAGGTGCAGCATTGGGGTAACATGCTTGGAACGTCTGCACCTGACGACTCAAGCACCCGATGATCCTGGACAGTTGGCTTGCAGGCGCCAAGGGGCACCGATGCCAGACAATGCCAGACACGGTAGGCAGAGAGACAAACCCCTGGGATCTGTAGATAAGGAACAACACGCCCTCTATCACTAGATGCGTAGAGCAAAGTAGCGATCGGAAGCAGGTTTATTCTACGAAAGCATGAACTTCTATTTACCTACTGGATACTGCACCGACCAGTATCTGGGGTCTACTGATCCACCGAGGGTCGATCTTCGATGACAGCTGGAGCACAGGCGCTGGAGCAAGGAGGCGATCAGCCTGGATTCGGCAGTCATTATTGATGCCTGATCCATGAGGCCTGAAAGTCTGTAAATGCCTTGGTAATGAGGCACAAACCTGTGGCCAATCCTAGAGCCGATAGGCATGACTCAGCCCCACCCACCGCGGTTCTAAAGAATTTCTTTTCGCTGCGGTCCAGATGCGCTTCTGCTTCTACAACCACCACCACCTTTCCTCCCCAGCATTTAGATCTGCAACACGGCAGTGATCCTTTGCGTGAGCCTCTTTAGACCGCTACACACGTCAAATCCACATTTTTAACAATGTCTGAGACTTCTGCCGGTATGCACATCCCAGGTCTGGTTTTTCTCATGGCCATATACTGACAATCTCTATAGCCTGGCCCCTCGCCGATGAGGCCCTCACCCAGAACCTTCTGGACCTTGTCCAGCAGGCTGGTCACTACCGCCAGCTGAAGAAGGGTGCTAACGAGGGTATGTGCTTCCTCAAGGATACTCACTGTCTGCCTGCCTGCTAATTGAATTTGCAGCCACCAAGACTCTTAACCGTGGTACCTCCGAGCTCGTTATCCTCGCTGCCGACACCTCTCCCCTCGCTATCCTCCTCCACATCCCCCTCCTCGCTGAGGACAAGAACACCCCCTATGTCTTCGTGCCCAGCAAGCTTGCTCTCGGCCGTGCTACCGGTGTTTCCCGCCCCGTGATTGCTGCCAGCATCACCACCAACGAGGCCAGTGACCTCCAGGGCCAGATCAAGACCATCAAGGACAAGGTCGAGAGACTGATGATCTAAGCGTTGGTCCTGATGTGGGAATCCCTTGGAGGATCATGCCTCCGTGGGTTCTTGAGGATTCTGTTGTGACTTCGGGAGTTGACCGGCCTTCACAAACGAAGTTTTCGCCCCACAGTGCGAGAATAATTCTCGTCAAAGGCTTGGATTGCTGCCGGATGATCCATTGGATATTGTGGGCGTTGTGCGCCTGCGGTTAGTACAGATAAAAGTCAATGACAAAAAATGTGCCAAACTTGTGTAGTAAATTTTGGTTGATCTAATACCGAGTAGTCGAAGACGCGATATTAGTATACTAGTAATCATCACGCAAACCAAAAATAGTTCATAACAAATATAGTCAGGGTCACCAGAATCAGGGTATTTCTCGGGGGGCGCAATAATTTGCAGGACCGCCGGGTAGGAGCTTGGCGGGCGCTAGTGAGGCCCAGCTGCGGGGGCGGTGTCTTCAGAGTCTTAGAGTTCTCGTGCTGGTCCTGACCTCATAACTCAAGGCTGGCTGGTTCTCCGCCCCATTCTCATCCTCCCATGAAACCCACTTAATTCCTAGCTTCTACCCTGAGACCCTGGCTGGTTCCGGTTCCTTGCTGGTTAAGGAGGACCTGCCTTCTTCGTCTATATTCACCGTCGCGCTCCTAATTCTGGTTGAAATCCTCCCATCATCTACAAATTCTGCCCCGGCCATATGCCCGTGACACGGACTTCCCTCGCAAGATAGGCACGCCGCCGTCTTGCATCTCCGCAGGTCACTGGACTCCCCTCAATCATTACCGCCACAAGTCGCTTGGCCGTGAAAATCCCTCGGACTTTGTCGAGATATCTTCTCGCTACAGCCTCTTCTCCTTGGTTTTGCTTTCCATCTGTATTTCGGACGCAGCATCGCCGCCATGACCTTCACATCGCTCACCGGGCTAGTCATAACAACGGCTATCGCAGCCCTTAGTAGCGGTGTCGGTGCCTCGGCGGTTGGCAGTCTGACCACAGCCTCCACCACCTCCATAACGCCGTCACCATCACCATCACCTACTATGCAAACTGTACCTTTTCATTTAGCTGGTCCAGATCCGACCGATGGAGACGACACCGGGGAATGCAGGCTCCTTGGGCCTTTTTCGCTTCTCGTTCAAGCTGCGCTCGGGGCATTGGCGCTGCTATCACTTGTCTACAAGCGCTGGAGGGAGAGGCCTCAGCGACCAGTGAAGGTGTGGGCATTTGACGTCTCGAAGCAAGTCTTTGGGTCTGCGATGCTGCACCTCGCGAATCTGCTTATGTCCATGTTTTCGGCGGGCCAGCTGGAGATCCGGAGTAAATACAAACCAAACCCATGCTCCTTCTACATATTGAATTTGGGAATCGATGTAAGCTTATTCCTATGCTCCATTATACGGGTTGCATGCTGACATGCTTCGTTTCAAGACCACGCTAGGCATCCCGATCCTCATCTTCATCCTTCACCTCCTCAACCGCTTAGCTTCGTATACTCCCCTCGCGAGTCCTCCGGAGTCCATCGAGTCTGGAAATTATGGAAGTCCACCACGCGCCTCGTGGTGGTTCAAGCAATCAATAATCTACTTCATGGGACTGCTGGGGATGAAGATTTGCGTCTTCTTTCTCATCCAGCTGCTGCCGTTCATAGTCAAGGTGGGAGATTGGGCTCTCCGATGGACCGAAGGCAACACGGCAGTGCAGATCATCTTCGTGATGCTGCTTTTCCCTGTCATCATGAACGCAATACAGTATTACATCATCGATACGTTCATCAAGAAGCCGATTATGCTGGATACTTTTGAGGAGGCGGAGCATGACACCCACGAGCATCGCCATGCGCTCCTGGCGGGCATGGACGAAGACGCGTCCTTCGAGTCGGACGATGACTCCGTTGGGAAAGATGATGGTTCGGAACCTGTAAAAGAGGATCTAGTCCGGTTCGAGTCCGCCGAATACAACCCAGCTCAAGTCGAACACAGCTCTGCCGCGTCCGCCAGATCGGGTAGTAGCCACGGCGAGTATGGCGAGTTGTCGTCATCCACCAAGCTTAAGTCCCAGAATAAGGACTGATATGATCTCCACTCACGTGTGTTATGTGGCGTTTGGTGATATTCTCGGTGATTATTCAATGGCAGTTGTGATTGGTGCATTTATGGTCCTATTAGGATGGCGTGTACATGATTTTACTTCAGCTGCTTTTATGTCTTTTGTTTCGTCTACTGCACGTTATAACTCATCCACGCATACGTATAGTTTAAAACGTGATTAATTTTAAGATCGCATTTAGAATTGATTCCAGTAGCAATCTACGTAATTTAAGTATGCCTTAAATACCAGGCGCAGATGTACCGCAGTGACCGCACCCCTCACCGCCCACATCTGCCGGCCGCCGAAGAAAATTATTGTCGGCTTCGCTTTCTGCGATATACACCACCCCCTCTATCCACCCATTCAACTCTCCCCTAAACTCTGATCAATCAGAGAACACATACTTCACAATGCCGAAAGTGGCTGTCAAGCAAAAGTCCCGCCAAAAGGTCAAAACGGCCGCGCGCTCCCCCTTCGAACCAGGCCAACCCATTCGCGAAGCCAGCGACATCGACATGAGCGACGATGAAACGAGCTCCGACGAGTCCTCGGTGCCGGAGAAGGACGAAGCCGAGAAGAAGCTCGAGGCGATGCTCTTCGGCGACGACGAGGGGTTCCTTGGCGCGTTGAAGAACCAGAAGGATCGCAGTTTAGTACTCGCGGGTCAGAGTAGCGATGAGGACGAGTCTGCGGAGGAGGGAGACGATGATGAGGTGAAGGATTTGTCGCAGATGGATGATGCTGATGTTTGTTCTATCCTAATTTACTCTCTTGTTTGTAACTGTACTGGTTGCTAACGAATGGGTTGTGGTAGCTTTTCTTCCTTGACTCTGGCGCCGGACCGGTCTCGACGGATCTCAGCGAGGCGGCGCCCGCCGTGCCGTCGGATGAAGAGGGCAGTGAGGAGGAGTCTGGTATGCCTGCGCTGTGGCATGATAGCGACGACGAGCGCATTACGATCTCCTTGGCGAGCCACCAGAGGCTGAGGAAGCTGCGTGTCGCGGAATCGGAGGATGTCATTAGCGGAAAGGAATATATTCGCCGCCTGCGCAGACAGTACTTGCAGTTGAACCCGATGCCGGACTGGGCCAACCCTGAGAAGCAGCAACAGAAGGATGAGTCCGATGCGGACGAGATGGACACGGATGATGAGGAGCCGTCGTCCACACAGCCGCTGGCTAAGTTGCTGCAGAACGCTACGGACCTTGTCAACGTGGAGGAAAAGACGTCAAGCGGTCGCAGAAAGATGCGCCAGGAGGTTGTGGATATTCATCGTCTCAAGGACGTTGGCAAGGACCAGCCGGTATGTCTTCTGTTGCTAGGTTGCGCATCACTTCAAACTAACATAGTATACAGTCCTCGGTTGATTCGCTCATGTTCCACCCCAACTACCCGCTGCTCCTCTCCTCCGGACCTGCAGCTACGCTCTTCCTCCACCACATCTCGCCCTCCTCCCCGGCTCCTAACCCGCTCCTCACCTCATTCCACATCCGCAACACCCCCATCCACACCTCGGCCTTCCACCCGCCCTCCGGCAACCGCATCTTCGCCTCCGGCCGTCGCCGCTACTTCCACATCTGGGACCTGGAGACCGGCAAGGTCGACAAAGTCAACGGCACCGCCGACCGCAAGGAGGAGCAGAAATCCATGGAGCGATTCAAGCTCTCTCCCTGTGGCCGCTACGTCGGTCTGGTCGGCACCTCCCGCAAGGGCGGCGGTCTCATCAACATCCTGGACTCCGGCACGGCGCAGTGGATTGCCCAGGTGCGCGTGGACGGCCGCGGCGGCGTGGCCGATTTCGCCTGGTGGAGCGACGGCGAGGGTCTAACGGTGGCTAGCAAGAACGGTGAAGTGTCCGAATGGGATGGCCGTCTCAACCGTGTCGTCGCGCGCTGGATGGACGCCGGTGCCGTCGGCACGACGGTGCTCAGTCTGGGTGGTCGGTCCGGCCGGACGCAGCTGGGCGGAGACCGCTGGGTGGCTATTGGTAGTTCCAGCGGTGTGGTCAACGTGTATGATCGTCGCGAATGGGCTGCGGCGTACGCAGCACAGGGCGAAGACGTCGAGGCTGGACAGTCGGCGATTCCTCGTAACCCGGAGCCGGTCCGGGCTCTTGATCAGCTCACGACGCCGATCAGCCATTTGGTGTTTGCGCCGGATGGACAGTTCTTTGTTATGGCGAGTCGGTGGAAGCGCGATGCGCTGAGAATGGGTGAGTCCCCTCCTCCTACTTTGATTATAGACCGTGTGGAAAGAATACTAATGACGATGACTATAGTTCACCTCCCCACATGCACGGTGTACCGCAATTGGCCGACGTCGAATACGCCTCTGGGTCGTATCTCATCGGTGGCTATCTCGCCCAACTCAGAGCATTTGGCTGTGGGTAATGAGCAGGGACGGATCAGGTTGTGGGAGATTAGGGGGTAAATATTCCTACTTGGTAACTTTATAGAGCCATAAAAGTTTTATACTGCATATTACATGGAGTTAGTGTAGAGTAAATAAATACCAGTGCAGATTCATTCAATCATATTGATCGCTTGATGTGTGACGTGTAACAGAGATACAGCAAGCCCTAAATGACCAACAGTGAACCAGATCCAAGCAAATCAGATAAAACAGACATAAAGAAATAACCTATGAACACCTCCGCCATTCACCACATCAGAAAGAAGAAATAATCATCAATAAGACAAGACAGAAAATTGAACCGAAAGCTGTGCCCTAAGACAGAGTAGAATTTGACTGTCCGTGTCGATCAGTCTACCGCAGACCCTATACCAGTAAAGAGCCGTAGTTAGTATCACTTTCATCATAGATGCCAACCCTATTCCTTCCCCCTCTGTCTCCCTGTAAAAGACAACCAAAGAAATATAAAAAAAAAAAAATAGGAGAACTAACCAATCCACCAAGCTACATCACCAGACAATAATTAGCCATCCATCCCAGAAGCATCAAGTAAGTTAGAGGTGGAGTATCTTACCAATCCCAAAATCCCCGACAACTAATTCCCCATAACAAAAACTCCTCGTTAGCAAATATCCTTCTTCCTTCATCACATCCTCACAGAACACCAGTGTTACTTACGAAATCAAACGGCTGCATGAAACACACTTGTTAGCATCACACTCCATCCATAGAAATGCAATAGAAAGGAACTGAACATACATCACTCTTATCCTGATCATCCCCACCCTTATCCCCACCATCATCCCCCTTAGGATCCTTTCCATCATCACCATCATCTTCGTCGTCGTGATCCTCGTCATCGTAATCATCATCGTCGTCGTCATTATTACTCGTCTCATATTGCGCCGAAGCACCCGACGAAGAGGCAGAGGCACTTGCCGACGCACGAGAACTCGGTGTAGATGATGCTGCGGCGTTGGGGGTGTGCATTGCTGCTGCTGATGTTGCGGGTGTTGCTGCTGCGGTGGCGAGGTCGCGCTTCTCTATGAGGGGTTTGGCTGCGGCGAGGGCGGTGGTGGCCCAGAGGGTTGTTGTTAGGAGGGTGGTGAGCTTCATGGTGGTTGTTGTTGTTGTTGTTGTAGTAGTTGTGGGAGATACTGGGTATGCTAGGTAGAGTAGAAGGAGGGTTTGGTAGGTAGGGTGGAACGTCAATCAATGGTGGTGTAGTAAAGAGAGAGGGCTGAAGGAAGAAAAAGAAGAAGAAAGGGACAGAGTAAAGCAGGAGGGTAAATAGGGCTATATTTATATAGTACTACTACTTCTACTACTACAGTAAACACAGTTGCTGGTAGTGACGAAATGACATCGGGCTGTAGTATCTACCAGGTTCATCCATGATGGCTCCTACATGATACATGCAAGGATTCATAACGATGTGCATTCCAGTCCAGTTCCAAGTTGAATCAGTGGTCAGGGCCAGATGATCCCATCCCGTCTGTCTGGTCCACGAGATTTCAAGCATTCTTCGTCTATCCCACTAGGAATGTTTGATCGGGGTCCCCTTTCCTTCCTGTGCAACCAAACCAACACTGACCAGCTGAGTGACCGTGCACATTCTTTCGTTTTTTACCTTTCGGTTGCATTGCTTGCTGCGGGGTTTTTGTGTTTACAGACTGGCTGTGGTGGTGGCAGGTCCAGTCGGTAGAGACGGTAGAGTTACACATTCAGTGGCTTCCTGGTTGGCTTCTTAATCACTACAAGGATTGCTCCAGACCAGACCAGGCCGGGCCAATTCTTCATCATAACTTTCGTCGGGCTTCTCTACCCATGTTCAATCAATTATTTTCATTCCGTCCACCCCGTCTCAACACCAGAGAATAAATAATCACACCAAAGAATTCAAAAATATGTGCGCCAGGTCATTATAGCAGGGTCTTCATATCAGCCATGTTCCGGATACCGCACAGGTTGCCGGCCTTGACCCGCTTCAGGGTCAGCGCCGCAATCAGCGCAGCTCCCACACCAGATCCATCCTCGGCCGCCATGATGGTCACCTTGTCCTTCTCCTCCGGAGCCCAGTCCAGGATCTCCCGCAGAGCCTTGGCTCCGCGTGCCTTAAAGTGAGGGTACTTGGTGAAGACGGAGCCGTCAGCACCAACGTGGCACGAGTCGATCTTCTTCTTCGTGCAAATGGCGGCAACACCGCAGGCCGACAGGCGAGCGGCACGCGTACCGATGAGCTCGGCCAGGCGGCGGATCATCTCCAGCTCCGCCGGGGTAGCCTTGATGTTGAGTTCGCGCTCCATGAGCTCCTCGGTCTCCTCCAGGTTCTCGTAGGGATCCTCCTCGATGGCCGCCAGGAAGGAGGAGTCCAGGATGTAGGGCTTGCGCAGCTTGGTGGTGTCCTGGCCGTTGAAGATGAGGCCGGGGCGGTTCTCCACCAGGTCCATCAGGGCCAGACGGAAGATCTCACCCAGGTACAGACCGGCGGTCATCTTCTCGAAGGCCTGCTGACCGGGACGGGGCGAGTCACGGTCGATGATGTGGTCGTACTTGGTCAGGGGCAGCACGACGTGCTCGTTGTCGAAAGCGCCATACTCGCAGTTGATAGCCACGGGCATGTCGGCGGGCAGGTTCATGTGGGCCAGCTTAGGGATGGAGCCAACATTCTCCATGTAGGCGGCGTTGACACCGGTACCGAAGATGCAGCCGATCTTCATGTCGGTGTCGGTGTAAGCAGAGGCGATGAGGGTTCCGGTGGTGTCGTTGATCAGAGCAGCCACCTTGATGGGCAGGCCCTGGATAATTGCTACATTAGCTCGAAGAACTTTGCGTGATTTGCTATCGGGGATTGACGTACGCGCTTCTGCAGGATGGCCTCCAACGGAGGGACGACGTCGTGGCCCTCGACACCATCAATGTCGAAACCCTTGGTCCAGCGCTGCAGGACACCGTGGTCGATGTAGTCCTGGGTGGCGGGGTAGGAGAAGGTGAAACCCAGGGGCAGCTTGGAGATCTTCTCGTTCTCGTGGTGAGCCTCGATGAACTGCTGCAGGCAGTCGGCGATGTATTCCCACAGCTCCTCGGCAGTACCGGTCTTCAATTCCTCGGGCATGCGGTACTTGGATTGGGTGATGTCGAAAGCACCCTTCTCCTGGGTCAGGGTGATCTCACAGACACGCAGGTTGGTGCCACCCATGTCGAGGGCGAGGAAAGTACCCTGTTCGTCGCCATCGGGGAATCCCATCACCCAGGTGACGTTCATAGGCTGGGTAGGGGGGGAGAAAGAGGTTAGTCGGGACGAAGAAAACGGACGAATTGAGTCGATTGATGCATGTCATGAGCCAATGCACTTACGATGTTTCCGCCCTCGACACTGAGACCTGTTGTATAGAAGAAATATAGTCAGTCGGAGTGATGCATTCCGGGCCGCATTAGTAGCGGGTTAAGTGGGAAAAGACGCACCCTTTTCCAATTCCTTAACAAAGTGGTTGACAATCTGCTTGAGCTTGGAGCGATCAACGGTGAATTGCTCCTCGAAATCCTTGATCTGCTGCAAAAGGTTCTGGGGAACATCGGCCATAGAACCTGGAGAAGCAGAGGGGCAGCCATCGGGTCAGCGATCGGCATCCCGAGAAATGGAGGGGAAAGGTGGGAGAGCTTGGTATTACCCTTGCGGGAAGGGGGACGCTTAGGACCGATTCCAACCATGATGACGGTAAGAGATGATTAGATGGGGGAGAGAGGTTGTAGATGAGGATAAAGAACAGTAGTAAAGAAATCGAGGAGAAGATGGAGAAGAACAGAGTTAGAAACCGGGATGAGGGAAGATCGAGGGGGGGGAAAATGACGTGGGGCAACAGCAGCAAGCAGATTCGGAGACGTAAGTAATAATAATAAGTTACTTAGTGTTTTGGGCCCCGCAGTGGAGGAAGGATCGCCTTCACCGGTTGTTACTTTGGGTGTCTCGCCGCTTCATGTCTTGTCGTTCCTCGTGGATTAAATATCTCCAGAGTTTAAGTAGTTCGGGCTCTACCTACGTGTCAATGTCAAGATAAGTATAGCATGAAGCTAAGAGCTGTCATGTTGTTTGCGGGAGACAATTTGCTGCGGAGGAATGTATGCACTACTATGTATGTACTCCATCACTGCTGCTTCCTCTTCCCGCATTCTTTCTTAGTTCCTTCCTTCCTCTTTAACTCATTCAATTCATCCACTATTATCTTCCTCTTCTTCTTTTGTTTACTATCAACCAGTTTACTACAAAACATCATGTGTATCATTATCCTATATCCATCCCAATTAATTTCTTTTTTTTTTCCCCTTCCATCATGACACCCGTCGAAATCCCAGGAAGCTCCAGGAACCATCTATCTCTCTGGTCTCGTCCACTCAGATTCTCTCCATTCCAGCCACCCAACGCCATCTCGCCCGGACCTTCTCATCCATTCCATCCCCATCTGGTCCATGTGATCTCTCTTACTTTTGCTTTTTCCTCTCACCTCCCTTCCTGCATCCGCGCCAGATGCGGGAAGACATGAGCCAATCCCCCAATCCGGTCGTTCTCCTCTGCAGCTTGCTTCTCCTTCCTACCCGCTGCTTCCGCGTGCGTGCCCGACTGTCGCTCCAGATGCTGCCGCACTCGCTGCTGGTACGCCTGCGAGATTCCCAACGTGCGATCAACCTCCTCTGTGAGCCGGTCCACTTCATCTTGCAGCCGCTCCTCCCGGGTTTGTGGGGATGCATTCTCCGCCGCCCGTGTGGCCGGGTCCGGGTTCGTCCTCTCCCACAGCTCCTCTAACTCCTTGTCCCAACCCAACGCCCGTGCCAATCGTCTCACCCCTGTGTCGCAGTCACCCAACACCAGTACATCGTCCGGGCGGGATCCCAGCCCACCGACCCGCTCCATGTTGATCAGCACGCGGGGTATTCCATCACTAACGAATGCGGGCAGACTGGCAAACGGCTGCACTTGTAGACTGGTTCCCATAACAATGCACAGGTCCGCCTGCTCGGGGAGCTCCCGGTTGTCGAAGAAGTCAGCCGGCAGCGACTCCCCGAAGAAGACAATGTCGGGCTTCACCAGCCCCTTGCACTGAGTACAGTACGGAACTTTTCCGTTGGTGATAGCCTCTTTCATCAAGTCCTCGGGGTATTCCGCTTTGCAGTCGATGCAATGCTGTGTCGCAAAGCTCCCATGCGCCTCGACAATCTTATCACCCGGCACCCCCGCCAGCCGCTCCAGGCAGTCAATGTTCTGCGAGAAGTGCTTCAGTAGCATCCCCTTGTCGTAAAGTAGCTTAATGAACGAATGTGCGATGGTGGGTCTGAACTGACCCGGGGCAAGTTCCCGGGCCAGGGCGTAGAATGGGCGGGGATTCTGGCGGAAGAAACTGATGTCGAAGACGGCTTCGGGATCGGGCAGGTCCAGATGGGCGAGATTCGAGTAGATGCCGGTGTCTGGCGAGCGGAAATCAGGAATTCCGGCCGAAGTACTGATGCCAGCTCCGACCTGTAGACGTACCTCCTGTTAGCTATATCCCCACTCAATCTCATTATTGGGGATGTAGAATTCGATCTGACAGAGTGCGGGGGAGGGGTAATCGGAGGGAAAAGTTTATACCATCACCACCACGCGCTTCACGGGCTTTTGCTTGACATATTTGGCAATCGCCTCGATGCTGCGTGTCTCCAGCACTGACGGGGGCGTGTGCTCATCTACCAGGGTCGAGGATTCGTTGCCCATGGTGCGTGGCCGGCGACCTGTTCGGGGTCGGGCGTGCTGGTGTCGGGGTTTGCGACGGCGACCAATGATGACGGTATACGACCAGTTCCAGTCGCCAAGGAGGAGGTGCTTAAAGTAAAGCAGTTCAAGGGTTAGACAGCGGGTGAAACCGTCGATATCGTGAAGAGAAAAGTGCGACTGGAAATCTGAAGATGACGTCGAATGCAGCAATCGGCAGAATTGCTTGTCACCTGTGGCGGCCTGAGGTATCTATATCTTATGTCCCGTGATTCTTGTACGCCTGAATCTATCTAATTCCTGCCATATCAATTCTAAGATCAATGATGAAAGAATGCGGTGAATCTCAAGCAGCTCTCGAGGCTGTTCTCACTCTTCCACACTCTTCATCCTGGTGGCCATTATTCTGAGGCACCTGCAGCACCTCAGGGCTCAGGCAGCTCCCCAGCTGCTCACCGCCTGCGGGCCGAGTGCCAGATGGCCTTCCTTTCCCTTCATCATTTCCCTCTATGCTTCTGAGTGATCAACTGGGTATATCGCCGGTTCATCTCGCCCTCGTCTGATCACAGACAATGTCCAATTCCACGGCCGGCATGGCAAATGGCCATGCAGTGCCTCCCTCGCATCCCGCCCCGGACATCTTCAATGCCAGCTCCGTTGCCGAGATCAAGGCCACCTTGTCGCACCTGCACCACCAGGAGGCCTCTGTTACAGCTCGCCTGGATGCCCTCGTGGCCTCCCAGAAGGATTTCTCTCGCGAATTGGGCCGACTCGACTTACTCCGCGCCCATCTCGGTTCCCAGACCAGCACCACCCGCGCCATCAGCCATGGCATGCTGGCCGATGCCGCAACCACCGCCGATCGCATCTCCAGCGCCGTCCGTCGCCTCGATCTAGAACAATCCCGCGTGAAGGCAACCCTGGAAGTGGTGGAACAGGTCTCTGAGCTCAAGGCCTGTGTGCTGGGCGTTGCAGGCTCCATGGGTGCGCCGCAGGACTGGGAGACCGCCGCCAGCTATCTGAACCGGGCCTCCAAGATCCCCCCGGAGGTCGCGCAGGGGGCCTTTGCCGCGGAAATGGTGCCGACGGCCGAGGTGCCCGATCCGCCAAATGTCACGCTTGATAACGCCGCGGAATCGCTCTGTGGCTTGTTCCTGCGCGAATTCGACAAAGCCGTCAAGGAGAACAACGGTGCCCGCATCACACGCTTCTTCAAGCTCTTCCCCCTCATCGGTCGGTCCGAGGTGGGTCTGGATGTCTACGGCCGCTATGTCTGTCAAGGCGTGGCGGCGCGAGCTCGATCCAACCTCAACGCCGGCACAGGGGCTTCGCCAAGCAAGGACGGCTTCTTCTACGCCAATGCGCTGACCAAGCTGTTCGAACATATCGCCCAGATCATCGATGGTCACGGCGGCCTGGTGGAGCGTCACTACGGCCCGCGTAAGATGAACCGAGTCATTGAGCGTCTGCAGCTGGAGGCCGATGTCCAAGGAGGCATCATCCTGGACACTTGGAGTGACGAGCGCCATGTTGACCGAAAGCTGACCGACACCAAGTCCTACGCTTTCACTTTCCTCGTGCAGAGCTTCCTCCCTCCGCAGCGCAGCGGAACCCCCCGGTCCAACTCGCCTGCCGTACGCGATGCCGCTGCGGCCGATGATGAGGGCGTAGATATGAAGGAGATCGACGGGCTTCTCAACGAGATGGCTGTCATGCTTGGTCGTTGGTCTCTATATTGCCGGTTCCTGGCCGACACCTGCAATGTAAGTCCTACCCACCGCATTCTCCTTGTCTTAACTAACCCAGTCCAGCCCCCGGAAGCGGATGATGACCAGAAATTCGCCCTGCCGCAATTTCTCCGGGAATCGACTCTGGCGAAGAAGATCAACGACCGCCTGGCCTCTCCGTTTAACACCATGACTACTTTCTTCTTCCGCCGGTCGGTTGAGAAGGCGTTCCAGCTGGACGAACAGCCCTCCGGCCTGACCCTCAACCCGCAAAGACCGCTCAAATCCGAGCCGCCACACATCACGTCCGCTGTCGACGACATCATGTACATCGTCAACAAGGTCCTGCAGCAGTCTCTCGTCACGTCGCAGATCTCCGTCGTCACCAGCGTGGTGCCCACGCTCTCGCGCGTTCTTGGCTCCGACTTCATCGGCATGACCCAGCGCAAAATGCGTGACGAATGCTACCCTCGCGCCGCCGTCCAGGGCGGCCAACCTCCCGAGCAACTCGTTATCTCCTTCCTCGTCCTCATCAACAACCTCGACGTCGCCGTCGACTACGTCCGCCGCATCCTACAAAACCACACCGAGCCCAAAAAGTCCATCGGCCCTGATGGCCAGGTCGAGGAGACCGACCCTCTGCGCTCCCTCTTCCCCGTCCCGGAAGAAGCCCGCCTCGCCACACAAACCCTCCAATCCCTCTCCGCCTCCTTCGAGTCCAAGGTCACCGACCTCCTTACAGACGGCATTCAAGTTGTTTTCAATAACGTCATCAAACACCGTCTCCGGCCCATCCTCTCCGACGCCTTCCGCGACATCGAGTATCAACCCCGCGAAGACACCGATCCCACCCGCACTGTCTACCATGACTACGACTCCGATGATCCGGACTACATGGCCGATGGCACCGTCCCGGATGACGACGACCCCACCAGCCGCGCGGAGCTCGTCCGTCCGCGCTTCGCCGCCGCCTGGACCGAACTGCTCCTACCTCTCAGCCGCATCCTCACCGCATCCGCCTTTGACCGTCTCCTCACTGTCACCATTGCCTACCTCTCCCGACTCCTGGAGAAGCGTCTCTGGTCTTACCATGGCCGTGTCAACGCCCTGGGCGCCACCCGCCTCGAGCGCGACGTATCCGGAGTGGTCAGCGCCGCTGTCGATGTGGGCGGCACGCAAGCGGCACCAGGGCGGTACCGGCACCGTGAAGCGTTCACGCGGTGTCTGCAAATGGTTCTGGTCATGGGCATGGACGAAGACGAGTGGGAAGATGTTCTCCGAGGTGGAGAGACAGCTGAAGTGGTGGATAAGTTGAGTCGCGAAGAGAGGATGAGAGTGAGAGGGATGGTGAGGCGGGTTTAGTCTCTCACTTTTCACCTTCCACATTTCTTCATTCTCCCTATTCGTCTACGACCTTCTCCTCAGCGAAGAGTCAACTTTTTTTCCCCTTATTACCTTTCTACAACCGCATGAAATAAGTTCTGACAGCGTCGTCTTGTCGAAAAAATACATACGTATTGCTTTCTCTTGTATATAGTACCTTAGCATGTCACAACATACCAAGCAAGTCATCTTACCACAACACCAAACTCCAAGCCCTTCAAATACGTAATTACCTTGTTCTCTTCTAATTTCCTGCACTGAAATGCATCTGCAACAATAATCAATTAATGACGATACAGAATGACGGAAAGTGATTACATACACGAATACATGCGTACTTAGGGCTAGATAGGCTCTACATGCATACATCCGAACCCCCCCCTCCCCCATATATACAGGAAGAAGGAACTGAGGGGCCATGCAGAACATTTAGCATACATGTATGGACAATTTTGTATATATATTAGATATTTTATGAATTGGGTCAAGCACGCTGCGTATATGAAAGATTTAGTTTTCTCGGTCACGTGTTCGTATGTATACGACAGCTTCGATGTTGGGGGATGTTGTTTTTGGAGGGAGGTCGAGTACTCCGCACATGCATGTGGTCTATCTGTTTACTCCGTACCGCCGTGGGGTATTTGGTAGCAATTCCGGGGTAGTACCGGAACACGTTGTTAGCTGTCATTTGCGTCTAGGCTAGCTGATTTCAGACATCTACATCTACATCTTCCAGTATAGTGCAGCTATCATATGTTACGGACGGATCAATTGACTATCTATGCATGTACTGGTATCACTCCATAAGCAAGATCTAGGAAACGAACATAGTCAAAAATAAACAATAACCCCCCGCTATAACCTAATATATACAATCCACCCAACAGGTAGATATACATAACCCGCGGGCTTTGTCCCTGAAAACGCCAAACCAAATCGCCGCCAAATGTAATACATGTACAAAACAAAAAAGTGGCTCAGCCGGGCTAATAAGAAAGGCATCGCTGGATATCACAGAAAGAGAAAAGAAGACAGAAGACATTAAGAAGTTAGAAAAGATGAAAAGTCCGACTCAGGTCGTCACCTTTTCGTTGATTTGAGTCGCCGGGATAGGCTCTTCGACCGGCTCGGGCTCATGCGGCGCGTGGTGTTCTGCTACCTGTCGCGGCGCAGGCTGCATCTTCAGCTCCTGGATGCCCGAGTCACCCTCGCTGCATCCGCGGCTGTCCACACCAACCGGGGCGTGGCCGTCCAGCATCATCTCACTGTGCTCGCCGATTCCGTACCGCGCCGCGGCGGGGATCTGGTGGCCGTCTTCGAGCTGGTTGTGCTGCTGAGGGGTCCAGGCGAGGTAGTCACGACGGACTTCAACGTAGTCGTAGGCGAATTCACCCAGCTGGTCGTCGTCCATACCCAGCAGTTCGGCTTCTTCCGAGGCACGCAATTTCAAACCGGGAATGGCGTTGATGGCGTAGGCGATGATGGCGGACATGACAAACGAGTAGGCGCAGGTAGCGACGACATAGGCGATTTGAATGTAAAGTTGCTTGTAGTTGTGGATCAGCCAACCTCCGGATCCTGATCCAGTGTTGACACCGTCTAGTCCAACAATCGCATCGTCCGCGAAAAGGGCGTTAAAGATAAGACCGACAATTCCAGCAACACCGTGTTCCGCGAACACATCCATCGAGTCGTCGATACGGATCCAGTATTTCACTGTAAACTCGTCAGTGATTGAACGGGATAACTGTTAAGCAACTACGTGACTTACCCTTGGTGGAGTAGTTGCAAACAATACCGGTCACGACACCGAGAATCACACTAGCCCAGGGAGGGACGAAACCAGAAGCCGGAGTGGCCGCAACGAGGCCCGAGATGGTACCGGAGCACCAA